GTTCAGCCCATTCGATCTTAGCTTGTTTGTTGAAACCCTAGATCTACTATTTGAACGATGCAAACACAGATCACGTGATCTCTCGGGTGTATGGGAAGTTCAATGGCATCTACGCCAACTTGGTCGAGCCGACATCAGCACAGTCAGCATCTCGGAGAAGTACACAGCAAATAAACTTCCACATGTACGTGTTGACAATAGAGTTCCTGATTTGACTACCATCTTTGCTCCAACCAAACCAAACTAGTTTTTGCGAGTCTTAAAATCCAAGCGTTTTCTTTTTGTTTTTACAACAGTACTACCTATATAGAAAAAGCAGTTTCTTCGCTTTGATCTCGTTCTGCTGCTTGCCGACCTGCACCTCCAGTGCAGCGACGCGTTTCTTTTCCTTGTGGGGATCTTCCTTTAATTCACGCATCGTGGACTCCACCAATGCAATACGCTCCACTGGTAGACGCTCGAGAAGAAACCATCGTTTCCGCGTGACGGCTGTCACAGAAGAAGAGGCCGAGACATTCCGTGACGACGTATCCGTCGTATTCGTCGGAGACTTGATAGTTGTGATTTTTTTCCTTTCTCTTCTTTTGGTCAGCAAGTTGCCTTGAGCCTCCGCCATCTCCGTCTTAGGGCTGCCTAAGACTCTTATTAGACAAAGGAGTATCGAGTACAACGGCTGACTGCACCCCACCTGCTTGTAGGTCAGCGAGAATTTCCACCGTGGTCTTCGTCGTCTTCTCCGTCAACTCGGGGTTGTCCCATCGCGCAACGACATGAGTGATCGAGCGTGTCGGCTTGTTAATGATTTTGCTAACTTCCGCCTGTGAAAATCCTTTGTCCAGTAACGTGCGGATATCGGCTGTCAGCTTGGTACACTGGGTCTGATCCAAATTTGCAACACGCCACGTTTGCCAGCAGTACAGACCATTAGCTTGGGCCGCAGTTGATAGCTCTGCAACAAGTTCCTGGCGAGCCTGGCGCTGGATTCGTGCTTCCTGAAGTTGAGGGAAGGTCATCGCTGTCGGAGGCGTTATTTCGGAATGAGCCCAACGGCGCTGTCCACAACATTCAACTCCTCGTTCTCAATTCACCACCCAGAGATTTGAGTTGCTTCATCGGCACCCCTAACGGCGGCATTAGGTCTCCAAGATGTAACCCTGGTAAAGTGCATGGTCATCCGCCCCAGATGCAACCTCGCCAGTGACCACGGCGTAGTCGATGTATTCGGGCTTGACGAAGTTGCGTGTGCACTGATGAGCGAGTTCTGGATCCCGTAAGTACGAGTACAACGAATTTTAGCAGCTCAAGAAACGCAGTGGACGGATTTTCCCAGTCTAAACGGTTGAGTCGCTCTTGCTTCTGTAGTAACAGCTAGGGCCAACGCTACTGCGAGTCGATATGAGATCCACGCACTGCTACATGTAGAAGTTTTCAATGTCGGACAGGTTGGTAAGTTACTATTGGTAAAGGTTGCAGATCACTTGTCCGATGCGTAATCATCCCACCAGATTTGATTGCGCCGGGAAAATGGATACGGAAATTGGGCACCCTCTATTTTATCCAACTCTTTTGCTGAAGTGATAGGAGTAGGATGTCCACTCATACGCTAAAGGATCAAAATGTGAATGCTAAGCAGCAGCCTCTCCAGACTCCGCACAACTTAGCCCTTGCCTTGCCGCCACCACCTCAGCGCACTGATCACCGCTGACCCATAACGATTCACATCCTCGTGAGACCACAAATCAATCCATCACAAAACTAGCGAAAAACCGCTCTCATTCACCCTTTTTCTGTGCAAATGACCATCATTCCCGTTGAACATGTACCCGCGCTCTATTCATTCAGCAAATTGCAACGTCGAGCACAAGCCAAGATGCCTCCGCTGCCTAAATCTCCGCATGCAACGCCGTACGCAGCTCTATCAACGCCGCGCGGCGCTGCAAAGGCTGTGAAACCCTCCATCTCCATCTCCGACACGTCGCCGTCGTTCCTATCGCTCTACCGCTTCGCCAGTCCTTCAGACAAGGTGCAACTCGTTCTAGGCGCCTTGTTTGCCGGTCTGAATGGCGCTATCTTCCCGTGCATGGCGCTGGTCTTCGGTACAGCCATCGACGCCTTCGCTCAGGCGGACGGAGGGGTCGATCTTGCCGCCGTAAACCGCGCTGCTTTCTACTATTTCCTCATCGCTGTGGCACTCTTTGCCACTGACTGTCTAGACTACATTCTCTTCTGCAACTCGGCCGAGAGACAAATGAAAGCTCTACGTGGCCACGTGTTCGCCCACATGCTGTACATGGACATAAGTTGGTACGACCGCAGCGACGCCTTCGAACTCGCCAGTCGAATTACAGGCGACACGGTCAAGATTAAGGACGGAATGGGTCACAAACTCAGCGACTCGATCAAGTTCACGTGCCAGTTCTTTGTCGGATACATCATCGGCTTTGCACGTGGCTGGGATATGAGTCTCGTTATGGCTTGCGTTATGCCTGTCATGGTGCTCTCGCTTAAGTATATGGTAATGTTGTTTAGGAAACGAGCTGTACTATCACAGAAAATGTATGCAGAAGCTGGTGCCGTGGCGGAGGAGACACTGGGGTCTATAAGAACTGTAGCGTCACTGAATGGAGAAAGACGAGCGATCGACAAGTACAATGAACGCGCAGTTTTAGTGGAGACTGGAAATATCGCAATTAGCAAGAAATCTGCCTCTGTATTTGGCTGTATGATGGCGAGTGTCTGGCTCATGTACGCTGCGGG